AAATAAACGAGCTTGATCAGCATTTGTCTTGCTCCACGTCTCCGTGTCTTTCTTTCCATCCAGGTTCATCTTTCCCCCCAGGGTCCTGCTCGTGCGTCCCGCTGGCCGGGACGCAACAGGTGGGTGCGTTAGAACCGCCTGTCTCCCAAGCCCACACTGGCCTTCTCTGAACCTCCAGACAGTGCACATCATCTGAAAATCCTTGCTGGCCACCTCTGCTGACTCCTCTGTATGTATGGAATACCACACGGCTGGGGGCTGCCGAGGTGAAATCGTCCACTGAAACCTAAGCTTTGCTTCTCAGCACCCGGGGAGGACTGAAATCTAGCCCCCTGGGGAGCTTCCTGGGAGTTCTGGTCTACATGCTGGAGAATCTTTCAAGGCTATGGGAGCACCCGCACCAGAAATGGGTTCTTGTTGAACATTTTCTGAAAAGAAAGTTCTGTCCATAAACAAACACTCACAGCCTCGAGTTGATTGCAACTCATAGGGACCCTGGAGGACAGAGTAGAACCTGCCCCCGGTGGGTTTCTGAGGTTGTACATCTTCCTGGGAGCAGAAAGCCTCATCGTTCTCCCACAGAGCAGCCCGTGGGTTTGAACTACTGACCTTACATTTGGCAGCCCAAATCGGAAGCTCACTCTCCTACCTGGGTTCCTTTTGGCCATCAGTAAATAGCTGGATAGTGGGACGGTTCCATCATTTAAAGACATTTGCACACATGACATAAAATGCTGCACTACAGTGCTGAGAATGTCTTTAATCATAATTAAGTGATCAATTTGGTGAGGAGCACGCTGATGAACTGATACGCCCATAGTCAAAAGTGGTTTGACAAATGTCAGGTCAGATTGAATAAAACAATTTTAAAAACCATTTTTGCCCATTCTGTCTCCCCTGGTCAAGTCCAGGAACCGCCTGTTTCTCTTTGCCTCTCTAGTTCACGTCCACAGGATGGCAGAAGCCTGTTCTGTGTGTGGGCAAAGTAAACGCATTAGGGTGAACACAGTCCTGGAAGACAGATTCTGAGGCCTCGCGTGGATGTTTTCTCACCACTGATAGCTTCCTCTGGCCAAGAAGATGTGGCCGCATCAACGAGCAAAGTAAAACGCCCCAGCTCCACCTGTTCACAAGGTCGCAGCACACGGACACCAAGGATGTGCTATGCCAGGGTCGGCAAACCCCAGGAAGATGTGATGCGGTACAGCAGTGCAGGGCCCAACCAAGGGGGCCTAAGAAGACCAGCCGGGGAGCTAAGAAACTACCTGGGCTGGGAAGTTTTCTCAATATTCAATTGATCTTATATATAAATCTCTTTCTTATACACATGAGTGTCTATGAATTTGTTTCTTTAGTCTACCCAGACTAACATAGTGACTTTATTTTATTCCAAAGTGATTATCTTTTTTTAAATTTTTTTAAAGTAATCATTTTATTGGGAGCTCTTACAAATCATATGACAACCCATCGTTCAATTCTATTAAAGCACACTTGTACAAATGTTGTCATCAACATTTCCAAAACATTTTCTTTCTACTTGAGCCTTGCTATCAGCTCTTTTCCCCCTCCCTCCCTCATGGCTCCTTCATCAATTATATATTTTTCTTGTTCTTTGGTGTCTTACACTGTCCGTTGTCTCCCTTTATTCACCTTTCTGTTACTTGTCCCCCTGGGGGATGGGCTATATATCCAACCTTGTGATGGGTTCCCCCCTTTTTTCCCCTTCCCCCCACCCCCACCATCAGAGGCCCTTCTGGTGGACCCAAAGTGCTAAACTTTTGGCAAAAGCAGCCAAGCATTTTAATCACCTGTATGACCCAGGTACTCCAGCTATTGCTGACAGGTGCCGTCGCGTGGGTTCTGACTCACAGTGACCCTCCTGACACCAGAAGGAAATGCTGCCTGGTCCCCTGCCTCATCCTCACAATGGCTGTCATACCTCCGTGAGCCTGTCTGGAGTTCTGAGTGCTACCCAAAATGAGACGCTCACCGTGTGACGCTCAATCAGACAATGTCCCACTGTTACCCAGAAGGTTTCAGGGACTAATCCCCTCAGATCAAGGACCCCCTGGTGGCATCGTGGTTGCATACTGAGCTGCTAGCAAGGTCAGCAGTTCAAACCCACCAGCCTCTCCACAGGAGAAGGACGAGGCTTCCTACTCCCACAAAGAGTTACCGTCTCGGAAACCCACAGGGGCAGTGCTACCCTGTCCTTTAGGGTCACTGCCAGCGAGCTTGTTTTTAACCTCTCATCTGTTCTTCCCGTGGAAGCTCCAGCGAAGGCGGTGACCCAGGTGACTCTGCGTCCAGCATCACAGTCACACACCAGCCCCCGCAGCAGGACCAACGCACCGTGGTGGCAAACAGCATCGGCACTGCCAACACGCGGGGCAGAAATCCTGCCCGATCATATAGAGACGCGGCACAGGAAAATTGATTCGCTCAAGCGATTCCCACCCCATGATCTCATTTGATCCGGCCACAAAACATGGGGCAGGAATTATCATCTGACACGTGATGGGAAGTACACACGCCTGTACGGAAAGGGTTTGCCTGGTGGGATAGGCTCAGTCTGGATCCAAGCTGGAACCAGGAGCAGGACCTGAGACTGAGCCCTCACGTCGGGCCATCACTCCCACCAGGGATGTGCGCTTGCTCAAGCAAGACACAGCTTGGGCGGTGCAGGCTGCGGGGCCTCTGAGGGAGGGAGTGGGTACCCGCCGGGCCCTGGCTCCATGCTGGCTTCAGGCTCCCCCGGGCACTTCTCCAACCACCATCTCTCACAACCACAAAACCAATTTTCCACACTGGCTTTCAAAGACAGAAATTGAGGAAATGGTTATGGTGACAAGAACTCCCAAGACACCCTGTCTGAAAAAGCATCTGCTCGGGGAACGTTCACCCGGGGACCAGCAGGAGCGTGGTTCCCTTCTGTGTGCCACATCTACCCGATCGCATGAGACACTGAATTAAAAACATTTTTTTTGGTAAGAGAGAGACTTTGTGAACTCAGGTTGTATGAGGCAGGTCCATTTTTCTTATTACTTAGGGCAGAAC